GACCTAACCATACCCATACTGTAAGTTATCCCTAAAATCAGAATCAGAGTCACCTAACACTGGTTCTAAGCCTAAACTAGACATAAACTTTAAATGTGTCCCTCAAATCTGATTGGTAAATTGGAATGTTGTTGACCAAAGATGTTGATCTAGGAACATGTTGCACTTGACTAATTCTGCTCAATGACCAGTTTGCAATGAAAGATTGACATATTTACAACAAATTTACATTTTCTGCTGTATCCGTCAAAATACAATACATTCAGAAAGAACAGCCAGTTTCTCATGTTTAGGGACTTATTTTCTGTGGGACTGGGATTGAAATCTTGAAATGCGCTTTAGACCTCGAGCATGTGCAAGGGCCATGTATCCAACTACAGAATAACAAGACAATCTACAGTGAATCGTTGACCTGAGCTAACAGATACTGATATACTTTGAATACTTCAGTCATATGGAGTAGTGATTTAGCTTTTGGAAGAAACCGAATCAAAGAGTTTTCCATTCAGGCATGTTGTTTTCCAGTTTTCCATGTTTGGCTATTGTTTGAATTCGAAACATGTGCATACATTCAACTGGAGAAATACTACCGACTAGAATAATTACAATGAAAAGGAGAATACAATATAAAAAAGGTAAAAGCCACTTTAAAGTGGCTGCTCTCAAAGCAATGCATTGCACATTGAAAGTATATTGCAAAATGACATGCTATCCAATGCATATTATGGTATAAATCAAGAGGACATGACACTATGACCGTACATATTTCTCATGCGTTTCAGAAGAGCTACCCAAGTTGATGGACTCAGGATGGCTTAGGAGGCAGCGTGCCAGCGGAAGAAATCCACCCAGGATTTTCAAAGAAGAGCGTCTAAACCCTAATGCTGTCCAATTGCCTCCAGATGTTCCCCTAAAAGAGCGAATAGACCCCCCTGTGGACACTCCATCTCTGACCAGCACCCTGCACTAACTCACATCTGGCTTCATGCTGAGCTCGAACACATCTCGGGTTAGTTCTGAATGGTTGTGAGATGTAAGACATGACCTGCAGTGTTTGAATACACATCAAGCTGTGGCATTTCTTGCAATCAAGAAAATGTCCCCAGATGCACGCTAACTTCACACATTACGTTCAGAAGACAAACATTTCAACTGTTATGATTTATTGGTGGGTTTTTGTCGAAGGTTTTCAGACTTTCAATATTGAAAGCTAGACAAGCTATGTAAACTGTCAGCTCAGAGTACTAACAGACAAGCATTAGTTAACTCCAGTTCACATTGAGCATGTCTTATGAAGCATGCTAGCTCATGTCATGTTGTCAAAAGTTCAGCGCCTCATGATGGAGTTATTCAGTGTAAGGGATGCATTGCAGCTGTTTGGCCTTCATGGCAGCTGGTGTCAACACCTCCCTTAGCACAGTTCTTTCAGTCGGCATGTGTTTCTGGTAAGTTCTGATAATCGGCCAGCGCATTGAAGGGTATATTCTATGGCAAGTGTAAGTTAATAAAAAAAAAAAAGTCAAATTTGTTGGCACTATTAGACGGATTACGACTAAATTCCTTAAGATTTAAGACTTGGAAGTTATAGTTTCCATCTTGGTCTCACAAGTAGACTTTAACAGATGAATAGTTCTTAATTTATTTCCACTATTTTCGTCGAACAAATTCCCTTCCATAACATCACACCTGGGGATGAAACATTTTCCCAAAACCAGCCACGAGTACAAGCCTATTTTAATAGCTAATGAAAAATACAAAAACATCAAAGGCAGGTGTCTTGGTGCCATAAAACAGAACTATTAACGTGAAGTCTGGGAGTCATTAGCGATTAGCCTGGATTTTATACTAAAATAAACACAAAACTTGCTCTCTGTTTGACACGACAATGCCAAACACAACAGTTAGTGTAATTAACACATCTTGGAGTTTGTAACATGATCATGTTAGATGGTTGTTTTGATGTAATGTGATAGACGGGTGTTTGGCAGCTGACAGCAACACTTTGTCAAGGATACAAACTACAAAAGGTGTAGCTACTTCCACTCAGCAGGATTGATACATCTACCGAGGCTTCATGTTTAATGCATCTCACCTCATGACACTTCCAGAACACATGCTAGAAGCCTTTTGGAAAAACTGATGTATTCTGGGCACGTTCAGGCACACTTAAGACAAGACAAAAAAGTTGTAGAATGTCTTTTTTTTTAAGGAAAAATGGGTCCCCTTAAGACCCCCCCCCCCATATTGGGTTTCCATATTTTATGGGGACTTTCCATAGACATAATGATTATTTTTATACTGTACAAAATGGATATTCTATCCCCTAACCTTAAGCCTACCCATCACAGAAAACTTGCTGCATTTTTACATTTTCAAAAAACATCACTTAGTATGATTTATGAGCTGTTTTTCTCATGGGGACCAAAAAATTTCCCCACAAGGACAAGGATTGCCATCGTTGTGGGATGTTTTGTCCCCATAACGTAGAGTTTACCTGAACCACACACACACACACGACATATTAGCTCCTGACTACAATATCAAAAATATTTGTAAAAATATTGGCAATAACCAATTTTTGTGAGGGGTGTATAGTTATAAAATGTCTAGACATCAACCACAGAGTATCAAACACAATCATTACCACCACATGTGCTGAACATTTCTGGTTGTTCCAGAAATTACTATTTATTGTATTTTATTGGTAACAGTATTGGTTCATTTGGCTGGAGCAATATCTCGCTTGCGATTTAAGGTGCTACTGTACAAACCTCTATATGTCATTCCAACGCATTCTCACTCTAATGCCTCTATCCATAAGACGGTAATATTAATAGCCACATGTGGAAATGCACAACCAAATTCTGCTATTGTTCCTTGCCAAAACAGCATTTGCAGTTCTAGCTGGAATACTGCATGTAAAAGCATAAGAATTAAAGTATTAGATTACCCAGCATGCCATGCTTCCGTGTTCTGCCACACAATATCCAAGCTGCATGCTGATAAGGTAAACGTGACAGAAAAGAATGGAAATGCGATTGCAAATTCTGCGCAAATAAGCTGTGCAATTTATTGATGCACTATCGCTAGCTCTAACCACAGGTTTTGTTTTCATATCAATAGTATGCAAAATGAAGAGTTACTAAGAAAATTAAGAGTTACTAAGAAATGGTCCATTTCTGTGAACCTGGCCTTGATAAATGATGTATTTAGGCCTGGCTGCCATCTGTCATTTCGATGATAGGTTGGTCGATGCAATGAACTGACAGCTCAGACTCCGAGCGTAGCATGCTTTCTCAAATATGAAACCAGCTAGGACAAGTTTATCAAGATGAAAAATATAATTTAATTTGTTAATGACAAATGACCATGTATCTGTCTGCACTATTTGGCATACATAAGGTATTCTATAATGAGACAATCCATATATGGTCAACATTGTGAATTTCCCACAGTTTAAACATAGTGACCAACAACAACAAAAATATTTTGAGTATGAGAGACCCGTGATAAAGTTGATGAGACTCCTTGATGGCCAGCCAACATTTTTTGCCGTTCCCATTTTACAGGGACAGAGAGCTACCCATAAAAATAAGGATGTGCTGCAACTGGCCCCGAACATTGACAGTACCCCCACAGTTTTTGGAGCCACTACGCAGTTAAACTCAAACCACTGTAAGTAAACCACAAGCCTGAAGTGTTTCAAAGCCGCAATAATGGAGATCACATAAGTGAATTGGTTATCCTGTTAGCTAGTTTATTGTGTACAAGCTGTTTTAAAAATCTTGCCTAAATAAGGTATTTATTTGCATGTGCTTAATGGTGAAATTGGAAACTTTGCATGTATACTTTAGTCAAAAAATCTGTACAAATTGTGTGAGATTTATTACATTCCACAATGACTTCAGACTAGAAAACACTGTGAATCCTCAAATAGTGCCAAGAGTTCACTGCAGCCATGTAATATGTTTCTTTTGACACGTTCACCCATACATTTAAGTTATTTGCATTAACCCTTTAGCCTCCACGTCAGTGGTGCCTTATGTCAAAATCCTTTATTTGACAGATGCTTGTTTCAGGTGCATGCCTGCACAAGACTTCCCTCTACACACACAGCAGGGAAACATAAGCAGAAACACACAAGGCTGGAGGAAACAGGGCTATCAAATACACAAATGGGGAGGTGGAAATATGCCTGCAACTTCCAGTTGAGGAACAGGAAGAGTAATAACTTGAACTCACAGAAAAACCTGAAGGGCTTCGAGAGCACTGGCCAATAGCATCTCCAGCACAGATTTATATGGATTATCTATTTTAGGGATTGTCTGCCAATCTCAGCCAGCTCTCGGAGGAAAGACGAAATAGCAAAGTGTTTCTTAGACACATTTAAGTCAATTTTAAAGGTTTAAAGTCTGGCATTTAAGTTTTTATGTTGTTTTTTAAAGCATCTTTTTTCAAATTAGTGCATCTGAACCTTTTATATATATATAAAAAGATTTGTTATATTATATATATATTTATCTAGATATCATGCATTTAAAGTTTCATCACACAGATACAGAGACAGATAGCTTACACATTAATTTATAGTTGGAAGACTTAAATAATCGTATTAAAAAAACTCTTTGAATAGGAAAAAAAAAGTTTTCTTGGTAATCTATTGTTTTGTGCATAAAGAACACTCTGTGAAAGGTAAAAAGTGAATTTGCCCGTACTGGTTTTCAGTTCAGCCCGAGGCGCATAGCAGGTCAAATTCTTCTCAAATAGGCTACACAAATGCGCTGAAAGTTCCAAAGACACATTTGGAACATTCCAAATTATGCAATTGTTTTTCTACAAAACAAGTTGTTTGACAAGCAAAACTTTTTCCAGTGGCAAATCGCACAGAAACCGTCCTGGAGAACAAGCGCAAATGCGCTACCGTGCCAGGAGCTTTCCAGATTCCCACCAAACGATACGTGGAAGCAGTTCGTGCAAAGAAACTTTGAAAGGATACATACCGTAATAAAGGTAACCATAGCATCGGTGAGGAAATATTCAGCAGTTCCGACATGAAGGTAATGAGTTTATAACGAATCCTTTTCGAAAGTTTCCAGATAGAAAGCGCGCGGTGCGTGCTGAGAGTCTCACTGGCGAGTGCAGCGCGCAGATCTCTCTCTCTCTCCCTCTCTCTTTCCCTCCCTCTCTCTCCCTCCCTCTTTTATCTCAACAAGCATAATCTTCTACTCTCCTGTGCACATCCAGCATGGACAGATGGCTTTTATAGGGTTTCTGTGCTTAGTCTAAAGTGATGCTGTTCTCATTAGTCAATCATGCATCGGTAACTCAAATAACTTTCATTTTATAAGTAATATTAACAATCATTTTACAGTACATTAAGTAATGCCCAGTTACGCATTAAATGTAAACTAATTGCTCTGACTGAAATAAACGCTTTGAAATGACTTTAATTTATATTCATTTAGAATTTTCGTGAACTACTGCTCTGCATTTTATGTTTTGTGATGAAGACTGCGATGAAAATTTCTTAAGGGGAAAAAAGTTCACCAGACGTCTCCTATGAAGATCTACAGTATGTGAAAGAAATTTGGCAAAACAAGTTAGAGTAACTTATTATAGGTTTAATTCACACTTGTTTGGTAACAAAAGAAACCTCCAACGAATAAAAAGAAATTGCATACTTTCTCATCTACTCGAACTGATATAAAAATTATTCCAAAGATCCAAATAACTACCGGTAGGTATGGTGGCCAACTAAAAAAAAAAAAAAAAAAAATGTTGAAAAATTAATGCACAGTTTGAGCTAACAAGCATTAAGCGTGACTCAGCTGAGAGCTCTATAAGCATAGTTGAAACTGTATGCATATTATAAGAGTAGACTGAGAATACAAATGATTTTATAATGGGCAGGGACAGGAAACACTCATATAATCTCTATAATCCACTTTTTTCTTCTGTTAGTCGATCCTTTGTTGGAAATGTTTGTGTAGAACGACTTCTTGAGCTTTTTAAGCATTGCAGTGATGATATACAAGGATATTGATGTATCCAATTAACCATCTGTTGCCCTTGCAGAGCAACAAACATATCAGGACAAAATAGAAAAATAAAAGTAATGGTCATTATGATCCATATTAATATTATAAACCAGAAAATTAAATACTGCATCTTTTCTAGACTGAGCCGTAAATGCAATGTGACTTTAATGCTATGTGAAAATTGTCATATTGAACAAAACCTTCACCCCTTGTGCAGAACCCTTTTTTACATTTATTTTATCAAAAGCCGCTCAGCAGGTAAAAAGAACAACTTACCTGTTAATTCTTGGTGTGAAGTTCCTGGTAACACGTGAATGTGTTTCTTCCTTTTTTGAATGGCTATGGGACATCAAAAGAGAGATGTTTTTGGCTAAATTATAGGTTTGTCATGTTGTTGTATGTCTCAATCAGGACAAATCTTGTATGATGTTTTCTGTTAATGCACAGTCACAACCAGTAGTTGAGCCTCCGGAAGATGTTGTAGCAATTCAACAGTCTTTTCCCCAACCAGGAAGCTAATCTGTAAATATTCAATGAAGACATCAGTTGCTGAATGAGGACATATTTGGGACATTTCACAAATGAAGTAATTTCCTTTAAAACCAGTCCAAGAGGAAGAAAAGATTGAAGGAATTTGTCCTGTCATTACTTTTTACATCATTTCAGGAACACCTAGTTTTAATCATTTTAAGAACACATAGTTTACATAGTTTTCTAGAAATAAAGTCTGAGCTTTACAGATACTCGGCAATAAAACTAGAGCTGGATGCTAATAATATTGGCCAAATTCCATTTGGTAAATCACAAAACTGTATGACCACCACAGCTGTGTCAAAAGTGTCTCTTTCTGTCAAATGACAGCACTGATGGAAAGCAATATTTGTGGAAGTGTAACAGGAAAATGTTTGTGTTTAAAGGTGAATAAAGGTGTATTTTTCTGCCAATAGTGGCAGCAAACAGAATTGCCTCTTTCATTTTCCTTACCATATTATATTAATTTCCTGTGAAATCAAATTCGTTTTTCTGTTTGCAACATGTCAACTAACTCTCATAAGAGAGTGCTTAAAGGTGCAATGTGTAAAAATTTGGAGTATTTATTAACAGAAATGCAATATGACATCCATAACTATGTGTTCAGTGGTGTATAAAGAACTTACTTAATAAACCGTAATGTTTTTATTACCTTAGAATGAGGCATTTATATCTACATAGGCGCGGGAATCCCCTTCTATGAAGGTCGCCATATTGTGACGTCATGTTTCTACAGTAGCCGAACGCGAACACACAGCATTACAGAGCGCGTTTCGTCACTACATTGAAAGAGAAGCCGCAGGAAGCTAGAAGAAGCTAGTCATAAACACCGTGAGTAGTGACTTTTCCCTTGTCAGTGGTGTAAATATGTAGTTGGATTGTTTCATGTAACTTAATTCTTCTCCCTCGCTGTGTTATGGCTTTGCTATGTGGGGATAAATGTGCTGGTTAAGTTCGTGAGACAGCTGATTAGTAGGCTACTCTTGTCATTGACCGTAAAACAGTTACAGGAATCACCAACCCGTCGATCTTGGAAGCATTTTAAGTCGATCGCTTAGAGTTTCCAAAATCAGAGAAAAAAAGCCTATTGTGTGTAGTAGTGGTGTCTAGGGGATGCGGAGGCGCGCGCGCTGTCACAATCACGTCATTTTTGCACCTTTGGGCTCATGCGGACGCGTCGAGTTTAAACAAGGCTTTACGCTTTAACCAGCTCAGCCACAGTAACAGCTCATATTAGCCAGCTAAACTTTTACTACCCTGAAATCTCATAAACTGCATGCTGAACTCACAATTTATAACAATTTCAAATCAGCAACAAAATCTGACATAAACTGTCCCATAAATTGTGTTTCTTATGCTCAAATAGCGTTATTTTGAATATGATTCTAACAGCAGCTGCAGTGATGCGATGAGTTTATCAATCAGCATTTGGCTCTTTTATGTAGAAGGCGGGACTTATTCCGCCATATTAGGCATTGTACTTTCTCTCATTCATAAGTAATATGAGTGCACAGTCCTTGTATATCTAAAGTCTTTGCTATAAGTAACTTTGCATACGTCAACTTACCCGAACCCTAACCTAACAGTCTACTACAACTCTAATGAGAGTTAGTTGACATGTAGTTGCAAAGTTACTTATAGTTAGTAGAATGTCTAAAGTGGACCATTGAAATAAAGTGTAAATCGTTTTTCTATTATGTTGTTTAACATTTCATGCTGTTTCTCATATTAGATTATTTTCATTGCATTAAAGCTCTATTTTGTGTCTTCCTTCTTGATGATCAATGCATCATCATTCTTTTTTTTTTTTAAATACTACTTTTTCTTCCATTTTATCATTGGTTTCATTGGGTATTTTTCCTCAATCCGCAGAGAACACTTATTTTCCATCAGAAAATGAATGATGATTCAACCCACACTACAGAGCACTTGTTATCTATAACCAACACCCAAGAGTTACCAAAGTGTAATACTCCTTGTTCTCGAGTCAGCTTTAATGTTGAACAAAATGTCTCACAAACGAGTGAATCGGCAGCCATCAGGTTGGGCCAGGTGGTGTGTGTGCGTTTTTGTTTGAGAGGAATGTAGGGCACACCTTACTGGCATACAGTGGGCTCTGCTAACCTCAGCGTACACAGCTACTGATGCCTTTCAAATAGTGCCACACAAAGAGACACAATGGAGTAAGAACAATGCCGGCACCTGTGGTTGGTTAAAGGAGTTCCCCATTGTAAGCATGCTTTTTATTTTGTTTAATGACGGAGTACCTTTTGAATCATCTGTGGAGTAAATCTCCCCACAGACAGTTCTGTATAAAGTGTATCAAAACAGTGGCTGTTTGAGTATCTTTACGTCACCGATAAATTATGTGGCCCGTGCAAAAGTGAACTTGTTGCCAAATTAAATATTTATATACTTGCATTTACAAGCGTGATGGTCTATTTGCACTACGTTCGTTTTGTATGTATAGTACTCGGAAAGAGATTTTAGGAATTACACGGATGAGTAATTGAGAAGCATAGCATGATTTATGTGCTAAAAGATCTGATTTCCTTGTGCGGGCGCTTTGTGCTTGTTGAGCAGTCAATAAAGGATTCCTGGGAAGTCATTACATAACTTGATTTACTAATATAAGGCCACTGAGCAGTGATTCGTTGGATGTATATGGGCCAAGGTTGAACAAACATAAACAATAAGTAGTAAAGTTAATCTTTCAGACCGCAGGAACTTTTCTGCACGTTCCTTCCTTTTCCACTTTCGTCTTTTAGTCGCAGTCTGCATTCAGCACTTTCACCTGCACCTACAATGAGTCTGTTGTTTACAGTCCCGTTCGGGCATTGCTAAAGTCGCTTTCTCGTGATGGATGAGGTGTCTCCCACCTGGCTCCGAGGCCATCAGGGCGTTGATCTCTGCCCCTCGTCACAGTAAGCCATGGCTAGAGGGGAAGGTGGGAAAGATGTATCAGGGAGATTGAAAGAAAGAGGAGGGGAGGAGGGAGCGCTGCTGTCGGTGTAGGTCAGATCGAGTTTCTGCCCGATTACAACCGTCACCCCAACCAACCCCAAACATGAATATGGTGGCGCCAAATAGAAAAGTGAAAATGTTCTAAAACATGCACTCTTAAAAACAAAGGTTCCCAAAGGGGGGTTTCGCAGCGATGCCATTGAAGAGCCATTTCTGGTTCCTCAAAGAACCTTTCAGTGAACAGTTCTTAAAAGAAGCAGTTCTCAGTGTGAAAATCGAATGAACCTTGCTTGACACGCAAGAACCAATTAGATTCATTCAAATCAATCACGTGTGTTGTGCAGCATGTTTGAGCTTCCTTAAGAACCAATGAGGTTTGATCTTGCGTCACAGCTTCTATATGTTCGCTGATCAATGTTTATTTGTGAATAAAAGCCTTAATTAAATCTGTTCATCATATAAAGCGATCGAGTCGCTTCAGAAAATTTGGACTAAACTGCTCGATTCATATGGATTAGTTTTACGATCTCTTTATGAACTTTTTGAAGCGACAAAGTGATTGTTGTGTGTACTGTCAATGGAGGGACAGAAATCTCTCTTAAATTATCTTCATTTGAGTTT